TTGTACTCTCCCATGTTCGCCTGCCGTTCCAGTCCCAGACCTGGCGGCTTGCTTTCTCACTTTCCCTCTCTCTCACTCTGTCTCTCTCTGGTTACATTTAAATGAATAAATAAATAAAGTTAAATAAAATAATTCTTTTTAAAAATTCTTCTTTAAATTTGCTATAGGGCCTGTGCACTTACCAGGGAGAGAACAAAAGAGAGAGAGAAAGACCATGAGAAACGCCCCCTAGGAGGGGGCCCCCCTGCAATCCCTTCTCTTCCAGTCTCCTCTCAGGGTTTTGAGCACACTCACACACATGCCCAGTGTGCTTTTCAAGCCACTGGGTCCAGACTGGAACTGCGCAGTCAGCTACGTGGGATCTAGCTGCCTTCACCACCTCGCCACTGGCTCGCCCTCCTTTTATTCCTTTAGTTAGAGCATTTTATTTTAACTGGGAGTGTATAAATAGGATAGCTTATCTGTGAATTGCATCCCATTACAGAAAAGACGCACTGCGAGATATTCCTTATAAAAGTGGGTGTCGGAGTTGCTTGGACGGGGCTGCACTGCCCAGGCACCCAGTCCTACTCGCAGTCAGCATGCTGGCCCTAAGGAGAGCAGAGTGGGAGCAGGCAGCCCATGAGCCCAACAGCTTGCCCTCCAGCAAGGAGACAGAGAAGCAGGTCACCACCTTCGTCAGCCAGTTTCCCCACCAGGAAATGGGCTTACTGACCAGCCAGCTCCACCTGGTTTCCCACAGGTTAGGTGGGCTGCAGGAGCCGGTGGGCAAGGACAGGTTTCCTGGGCTGTGCAGCCCCTGTGGGAGTGAAGTCAGAACACGTGACTTGCATGCGCCTGGTCGTGGGCAGGTCTGTCCTCTGGTGCCTCTCCGTTTTCCACAGTGTAGCCTTCAGCCATCCTGGATCTCTCTCCATGCCTGTCTTCCTCTCTGATCTCCCTCTCGCTCCCCTCCCTTTTTTCTTTTCTTTTCTTCTTTCTTTTTCTTTCCTTTTATTTGCTACACAGTGCTCACCAGAAAGAGAAAGGGGGAGAGAGAGAGAGAAAGTGAGAAAGCACTCCCATGGGGGAGGGTCATGCCACAATCCCTTCTCCTCCATCTCTTTAGAATTACTTATTTAATTTTATCATTTTTTTAAATTTGCTATAGGCCACATATGCTTACCAGAGGAAAAACAGAAGGAAGGTGAGAAAGCAAGCCGCCAGGACCAGGACTTGAACTGCAGTCAGCCATGTGAGAGTCCAGCACCTTAACCACACCTGCACACCCCTCTCCATGCATGTTTTTTAAGCTGTCACATTTGGGACTCAAACTGCACAACTGGTCATGTGGGATCCAGCGGTCTTAACCACCATGCCACCAGCTGGCCATCTTCCCCCATTATTCACAATCTCTCCTCACTACCAAAAACAAAACAAAACAAAAAACTCACACCATATCTGTTTGAAACTTTTTCCAAGTTAGCCCTGTATCTGGGGAGGGTAACCATGTCTTGGATGCTATCTACCAGACACCGTTCACACACTGGATCTTCTACGCCAGCCCTGAAGGTAGGTGATGATGCCCTAAAGAACAGATGAGACCACTGACGCTCAGTGAAAGGCAGTGATCTGCACCTGGGAAGAGGCCAAGACCAGCTAAGAGCAGGAGCTTTGGACCACTGCAGCAGGCCTCCTTGGTTGGGAGGACAGGAGCCAATTTTTGTGACCTCGGGAGGGTTGAAAGTCCCACCCAGAAGTCTGGCCGTAGCTGCACTCCGCCACCCCTGCAGGATCTGGTCATCTAAGAATCCCCCTTCCTCTCTTCCTCAAGCATCCCTTCATGCACGTTGTGGACACTTACTGAGCTTCAGTATTTTTCCAAGCGCTGGGTTATGCAGAAAACAAAATCCCTGCCCTCCCAGAGCTTCTGTTCCAAGCAGGAAACAGAAAATAAATAAATAGGTAACCCCCAGCATGATAGGGGGTGTTGGGTTTTGTGGAAAGGGTAAAACCGAGGAGGATAGCCGGTGCGGGGAGAGAAGGGCCATTGCAATTGGGCAGTCAGAAAAGGAGGCCTCACTGAGAAGAGAACACTGAGGAAAATGCCTGGAGGAATGGAAGGAGAAGCCTGCGGGTGGGTACCAGGGAAGAGCCTGATGGGCAAGGCAACAGCCCTGGGGGAGCGTGCCAGGCACGTTTGAAAGCATCTCGGAGGCCAGTGGCTATGACGTCTGAGTGAGGGGAAGTGGAGGTCAGAGCCCTGTGGTGACTGGAAAGACTTCGGCTTTTACTTCAGGTAAGATGGAGGCACTAGCACAGCCCCTGTGGCATGACAGCGACACAGTGCCCTGCAAGGTCAGAAGCCACTCAACCAATCAGGGTTCACATAGGCACCCAATCCTGAGGAGCTGGAGGGCCAGGGCCAGGAGATCACAATGTCGCAATGTGATAGGACACTTTCGAAGATGCTGTTCTCTCCCTTGCATGTGTGCACACACACTATATCATTAAAAAAAAATAAGACACCATCTGGCTCATGTATGTGTGCTTTAATTCTGCTAAAGGGCGTGTGTGCTTGTCAGAGAGAGAGGGAAATTGAGAAAGCACCCTCCATGGGGGATGGTCATGCTGCAGTCCCTCCTCCTCCATTTTCCTCTCAGGATTTTGAGCATACACATACACTCACACACACTCACATCTCCAGCATGTTTTTCTTTTTTTTAATTTTTATTCATTTATTTATTTTAATTTAACCAGAGAGATAGAGAGAGAGAAAAAGCGAGAAAGCAAGCCACCAGGTCCAGGACGTGAACCATGGTTGGCCACGTGGGAGTGTCCAGCACCTTAACCACCACGCCACCTGCTGGTCCCTCCAGCATGTTTTTCAAGCCACCAGATCCAGGTCTCATGGTACAGTCAGCCATGTGGAATCCTTAATCATCACACCCTTACTGGCCCGGGTGTGTGTGTGTGTGTGTTTAATTAATTGTCAAAGAGCACATGTGCTTGCTGGAGAGAGAGAACAATCACACCCCCCAATGAAACACGGTCATGTTAAAATTCCTTCACTATTTTTCCATCCTGTCAGGATTTGGGGTGCATATATACATACGCGCATACACACACAGACACGGACACTCACTCCTGGTGTGTTTTTCAAGCTGCAAGGGCCAGGATTTGAACCACAGTTGGCCATAGGGGATCTGACTCCCTTAACCACTAGACCACAAGACCATCCCTGGCTGGTGTTTTAAGAGGATCACTCTGGCTTGCTGAGTTAGAAACAAACTGGAGAGGAGTCAGCAGGTGGCATAGTGGTTAGAGCACTGGACTTCCACATGACTGACTCCATGGTTCAAGTCCTGGACCTGGCAGCTTGAAAATCACAAATGTGAAAAGACACATTTGTACATGGCCAAAATTCCAGGAAAATAGAGAAGGGATTGTGGCGAGACACCTCCCAAGGGGGATTTCTCCTTTTCTCTCTCTGTGGTGAGCTGAGTGCATATGTGTGCATGCTCAAAATCCTGAAAGGAGAATGAAGGAGAAGGGACTGAAGCATGGCCATCCCCACCAGGATAATTTCTCATTTTCCCTCTCTTTCTCTCTCTGTTTGTCTCTGATGAGTGCACACGCCCCATAAACAATTTAAACAAAAAATAGAAGAGGACCAGAGAATGCATCCCAGGGCATTTCACTGTTGAGAGGTAGAACAGAAAACCACATAAGAGCCGGTTAATGAGG